ATCTGACAAGGGAGGAATACAGAGCGTGTGCGAATTTCCTTACATGGGGCAGGGCAGTAGGGTGTTTGCTAATTAACCCTCTTGAAATGGACGGATACCAGAATGAGACTGGAGAGGAGGCTGTGGTAGATTGAATAATATCTCCCCAGAGCCTGTAATATGCTCTCACGAGCAAAGGGGCTCTGCGGATGTGATGAAGCGAAGGCTCTCCAGATGGGGAGATGATGCCGGGCTGTCTGGTGGGCCTGGCGTAATCAGCGGGGACCTGATAACAGAGAGGCAGGAGGCAGAGAGGAGTGAGGTGCTGCCCTGCCGACTTCCACGGTGCAGGAAGGGGCCATGACTCACAGAACGCAGGAGTTCTCTTGGAGGTAGAACAGCAAAGAAACAGGTTCTCCCTGCGGCCCAGAAGAGACCAGCCCTGCCAACACCCAGTGAAACAGATCAGATTCTGGCCTGCAAGGAGGTAAGATAACGAATCCGTGTTGTTGTAAGCGGCTGGATGAATGGTGATCTCTTAGAGCAGCATCTGGAAACTAAGGCTGGGTGAAAGTAAACTGCAAGGCCGATGCCACATGGCACCCCCCGCACTGAGGCTGCCCGAAGTCACATCACGCAGGGAGGAGGCTGCCGTCCCTCTCACTCTTCCTAGCGCGCTGATTACGAGGTTTGATACTGGTCATTCTCTAACACCTATATATCTGGTACTAATCTCTTAAATAGGAAGGAGTGGGCCCAAAGCTCCTTTAGACAACTCTTTGTACTAAGAATTTCACAGCATTTGTGTTTTTATTTTTTTAAGAGTTTTTTTTGCCTTAGGGCACATGGGGGGAGAGACAGAGATAGTGAGAAGGAAAGTAAGAAATCACTCCCAAGGAGAAATGGCCATGCCTCAGTCCCTTCTTCTTCATTTTCCTGGGTTCTTGGGTACCCACACACATGTGCCCACCATGATTTTCAAGGCACCAGGTCTGGGACTCGAACCGTGGTCAACCGTGTGGAAGTCCAGCAAAGTAACCGCTATACCATCTGCTGGCCCCACAGCATTCTTTTTCTTAAAAAAATGTATTTACTGGGCCAGCAGGTGGTGTGTTGGTTAAGGTGGTTAAGGTTAGCCCATATGGCCAACCTTAGTTTGAGTCTCAGACCTGGTGGCTTGCCTTCTCACTTTCCCTCTTTCTCTCTCTCTGGTGAATTAAAAAAATAATAATAAATAAAATTATATAAATAATTTTTTTTAAATTGTTATCTACCTTTTAACCATATCACTGATGACCGGTGGGGCTGATGTTTACTTTACTTTATGATATAAAGTTTCTTTTTAAATAAACATATTTGTATAAAAAGATTGAAGGGAATAAGAATGTCCAGTAAGGATGCAGGCTGTCCCCAGCTCAGCAAAGAGCATACAGGTGGGGTATGGGAGAGCACAGCTAGGGGGCACTAGCCTAGCTGTGGGTAAACAGGGCCTGGGCTTCGGAGGGGATTTGGTAGTCACTTGGCTGCCCAAAATCACTTGGGGAAGTCTTTATAAGCTTGTGCATGGATGTGGGGAAGCCAAAAGGAGGAAAAGAGACAGATGTCATTGGCCATCTCCCAACAGCCAATCCCCAGTGGAAAAAAAGAAAAAGAAAAGAAAAAACACACTGGATGTGCATGCTCAAAATCCTGAGAGGAGAATGGAGGAGGGATTGCAGTATAACCATCCGCCCCACCCCGCCCCTGGAGGGAGTGATCTCTAATTCTCTCTCCGGCTGGCAAGCATTTGAGTCCTATAGCAAAACAAAACAGATAAACAAATAGAAAACCTTTTCAGCTCATGAGCTATGCAAAAGCAAGCCTTTGACCAGCAAGCTGATGGTTTGCTGAGCTGTACTGAAAACTAAGGATCAGGAGTGTGGAGTTAAAAGGCTAGGTGGGACCAGCAGGTGGCGTGGTGGTTAAGGGTGCTGGACTCCCACATGGTCACCCATGGTTTGAGTCCTGGACCTGGCAGCTAGCTTTCTCGCTTTCCCTCTCTCTCTCTGTCTCTCTCACTTTGTCCCTTCCTAGTCAAATTAAAATAAATAAAGTTAAATAAAATAATTCTTAAAAAAAAAAAAAGGCTAAGCACAAGATTGGATGTGTAGGAAAAGGAAAAAAAAAAAGATTGGCTGTGAGGGATTTCCAGAGAAAGATATGACAGAACCACTAGCATTCTTGTGGGGTTTTTTGTGTGTGTGTGGTTTTTTTTGTTTGTTTTTTTGGAGAGGTTTTCGCTATAGGGCACGTGTGCTCACCAGACAGACAGAGAGAGACATAGAGACAGAAAGCGAGAAATCACCCCCCAGGGGGGATGGTCACGCCGCAATCCCTTCTCCTCCATTCTCCTCTCGGGATCTTGGGCACACACGCACACGCGCCCGGCGTGAGTTTTAAGCCACCGCGTCCGGGACGCGAACCGTGGTCGACTACGTGGGAGTCCAGCAACATAGCCATTACGCTAACTGCTGGTTCCCTACCACTAGCATTCTTCACCAAACTAAGGGACAAGCCTAGGGAGAGAGCTTGGATTGGGAGGGCTAGAAGCTATCACCTCAAGGCTGCAGTAGAACAGCACAGAGGAATAAGGCTAGGGATTGACTCTTAGGCGCAAAACTAGGTCCATCTCATATAAGGCCATAGGCAGAATTACCCTGTTCCCAGCTGTCAAAATTTGTACATTAATACATGCTTGTTGCTTAAAAAAAAAACATCTTTAGGGCCAGTCCCATGATGCAGTGGTTAAGTGTAGTGCTTTGGGAGCCAGATCCCACCTGGCCACCTGTGGTTCAAACACTGACCTTGGCAGCTTGAAAACTATACCAGGGGTGTGTGCTTTTCCATCCTGACGGGATGTAAAAATGGAGGAAAAAGGATTGCAGAGGGAGCTTTCTCTGTCTCTGATGAGTGTGCACACCCTTCAGCAAAGATACAAGCAAATAAATAAAACCTTTAAGAAATCAGATGCAGACAAAATCTTTGGCTGGTCTGGCCTTGCATGGCCAAAAAATTCCATCCATGACCGTCAAGAGTCTGTAGCTGTCCAACCCTGAGGCACCTCTGAGACTACTACGTAGCAACCGCAGGAAGAACGGTGCCTCCTTTCTGCTTAGATATGGCCGTGGAAGGTGGTGGATGAGGAAGACCCTCCCACGAGGAGAACCAGGGCCTGTAGACTGACCATGGATCTCATTCCTCACCAGGAAAAGAACTTACGGGAACTCAAGGACAAGAGTAAACCTGTGGCCACTGGGACTCCCGGCTGCCCATCTCTTTTCCAAAGGGCGGCATTTATTGTAGGCACCCCACTCCTCTTCCCGACTGCATGATGGGTGTTTGGGAAGATGTGACTTCACTCCTAGCTGTACGTCACTGTGCCATGGGGGCTACATCTGGACCTCGTGGAGGGGATAAAGGTGTCCCTGAGAGGCCCCGGAGCGCACATAGAAGTGGTAGCAGGTGGAAACTTCGGGTTATGTTCTTTCATGAACACGTATGAATTTTAAAGTTTGTTATAAACTTGTGCACGGATGTGGGGAAGCCAAAGGAGGAAAAGAGGCAGATGCCTTAGGCTGCCTCCCAATAGCCAATCCCACTTCTCTCCTCTGAGTGTGCAGTTCAGAGGTCAGCACCCCAGAGAAGTGATTCAGTCCCGGCTCACAGAATGATGCTAATCTTAAGTTAAATGATAATTTAAATACTTCTGTCAATATTGGGCTAAGCGTGAAAATCAGACTCCTTGAGCCAGTAAGACATCAGGAAGTTTCCAGGGAAGCTCTTCTTATTCCTACAAAGAGACCCAGAAAACAACAGCTCCTTCCTTGCTTGATGAGACCAGAGGTTGGCCAATTTCTGTGAAGAGCCAGACTGTACTTTAGGGTCTGCGGGCCCTTGTGATTTCTGTGACAACTCTGCCATGGTAGCACAAAGGCAGCCAGACACCAGAGCTAAACAGGTGAACATGGCCATGTTCTGATAAAACTTTATTTGTGGGGACCAGCAGATGGCATAATGGTTCTGTCACTGGACTCCCACATAGTCGACCACAGTTCAAGTCCTGTGCCCAGTGGCTTAAAACTCACACTGAGCACATGTGTGTGCATGCCCAACTTTCTGAGAGAATGGGGAAGGTATTGTGGTGTGACCATACCCCGTGGGGGGAGGCTATTTTCTCTCTTTGTGTCTCTCTGGCAAGCACATGTGCTCTCTGGCAATTATTTAAAAATGGATTGTGATACTAGTAAAAGGGCAGGACTCCCATGATTGAATCTTGGTGGTTTCGAAAGGCGAGGAAGTGAAACCAAGGGAGATGCACAGAGATATCCGTGCACACTCCTGCCCTCTCACCACATCCTCTGTGCCACCCCGGGACTTCACAGAGGATATCCACCAAGAAGACTCTCCCCAGAAGTAGCCTTTTGACCTTACACCTCCAAAACCATGAGCTTAAAAACACCCTCTGTTCCTTGGACATTACCCAGTGTGGTATTTAGTTGTTAGTGACAGAAAAAGTGGACTAAAACACTCTGGTTAATTTTTGTTTTCAGCAGAACGTGCTGTGGAGATAGTCTGGTTTCATCATGACCCCATCTTTCAAGCAGAGGGCTTTATTAAACACAAACTAAAGACAAGACCAGCTACATAGTTAGCGGGGACCACTACAACATGAAAATAGGACCTCTAGTTCAAGTATCATTAAGAATTTTAAGATAGCACTAGAAGGTCATTCGACCAAGTGAGGGACTCCCGGACAAATGGGAGGGCCCAGGTTATATAAGTACCAAGCTGGCCCCATTAAAGAAACATGAAATCCCATCAAAACGGGAGACTGTCTTACAACGAACTGTTGATCAGCAATTGCTGCTGTAAAAACACGTTATCATCTTCAGAATCGAATGACAACTGTCACTCAGAGCAGCGGCATTTCACCCTCGAGGCTATCACAGCTGGGAACATTAGAGTCTGTGACTCTGGACAACATGGTTTTAAATTTTATTTTTCATGTACAGTTTCAGATGATACAAAACGTAGAAAATGGACTATTTTAAAGGTACATTAAGTAGAAAGTATCTATCTACCCTAAAATCACATTTGTCCCTAAACCAAGATTCAAAGATAACTTTTAGGGTTTTCCCTAGATTTTTTTCCCATCACTGCCTTCCGATATGCACATTGTCCACTGTGTTGTAAGTAAATGTAAACTATTAGTGAGTTTAGTAATTCCCCACCCAGGCAGGTTTGAACTATGAGACAGCTTCCACCGAGGCTTCTGTGTTCTGTGTTTACACGAAGGCTTGGAGTTCTAGGTTTCTTCGTCCTAGTTAACACGGAGCATCCTAGAACTCCAGTCTGTTCTTAAGGGGCTCAGGCCTGTAGCAGAGTGGGTGGGAATGGGAGGTCTCCGATTTCCACGTTCGGGGATGTGTACGCACATTCATGCAGAGGAGCACGTCAAGCATTCTCCAAACTCATTTAAACAGAGACCCAAAATAATTTTAATGCAAATAACAAAATGAATTAGTGTCTCCATCACATAGCCCCTTGATGAAAGAGTTACAGTACTTTATAAAAACGTTGTCAGATGCGCAAACTACAGTTCCTTCAAATACAGTCGTTGCCAGTAACACGTTTGGTCCTAGTATTTGCTTCTTGGATGTCTTACTTGTGTTGGTGTTGAATACCTGATAAGCACCCAGGGAGGCGGATTCTACCTACAGGTCAAAAGTTGCATGTTTTCTCCCAGACGCCACCACCTCTTCCCAGCTTGCTTCCCAAATGCATGCCACAGTGGGGCAGAGGCGTCGCTCATGTCTCGACAGGCCTTAGTGTCCCAGGTGACATGGCACCGAATGTGGTACAGCAGAGACAGCCAGCCAGGAGAGTCCAGGGTCGATTCAGAATGCATGCAACACGCTCTCGTATCCCAGAAGCTCTTTGGGAAGGAAATTCACACACTGCTTGGGGATTGAGCTTCCCACACCTAGGTTTCCAAGGTGTTTCGTGTATGTCTTTTGTAACTACCAGAAAAGTACAGGAAAGTCACCTGGGTTGAGTTTGAAGGCCACTCTAGATTCAACTGTTTTTATGAGGTTTACAGAATATCCCACAAACCCAGGGCTGTGACCTGCACTCCCGCCCACAGCAAATGCTATAGGAGCAGGGAAGACGTGGAGAGTTGCTCACCCTCGTACTTTCAGAGCCTCACACAGTGCTGGAACATAGTAAGATGTAAAACTATTTGTTGAAACGAATGAATGAATGGATGGAGAGACTCAGTCCTGCACCAAAGAGGTATCCACAGTGACCCAAAAGCTACTCAAAGCAGATGCCTCCCCAGCTCCACCGAAACTGAACTGATGCAAATGATCGTTCACCTTAGCAGAAGGTCAAGTGCAGGACGAGGTCTCAACCACGTCCCAGGCACAACTCCCAGCACCATGCTCAAAACACAAGTGGAAACAGACATTGAGGTGCCCAGGGCAGAGGGCATTTTCTGGATGGGCTGGTGCTGTTCCTCGGCCCAGGGTACTCTGACACTTGCAGACAGACTCCCAAAGCCCTACTGCTCAGCAGTCTTGGAAATAGCTGGAATTCATGCTTGTACTCGGCCTCTCAGCCCTGCTGAGTTGGATGATGGTCCCAACTAGAGCTGGAGAAGCAGGGCTCTGTGGGGACCCCCCTCTCTGATATATTTGCTGCTGGGACGGTCCACGGAGTGTGCCCTGGGAATAACACAGACGGCCATTGCCCAGTGACTGCCACCTGCCCAAAGTGAATGCAGCCACATTTGGACTGATCTAAATGCCTCCAGGAGCATCTGAGGACAGTCCCCCTCTCACCCCTGGGCCTCTGTTTTGAGTCCTTGGTGGTGTTCTTTGTAGCTTCTGTCATCTCGATAGTTCATTTTCCTATGGTTATAATCTGTCTCCTCCACTAGACTATGAGCCCCACGAGGAGAGTCCCGGGAGGGGATAGTTCATGTGGAGGAATGAATAGTGAATGGTGATGGGCCCGCTGAGGCTCGAGAAATAGGAGTTATGAGAGGTCAGCCAACCTCAGTGTAGGGCAGGAAGAGAAGGGTGAGGCCTTCTGAGAGAGGGTGAGAGGAGGCGGTACCAGCACCCACTATCTAGCAAGGACACGACACGTGGCTTAGAGTGGGACTCGGGTGGCCCAGATGCAGCCAGCTGTGGAAGAGACACAGGACCAAGAGCAGGTGGAGGCCAAGGCTCTGGCCGCAGTACCGTCTGGACCCACTTCCCCAGGGGAGGGTCCTCGACAGGACGAGATCTCTAACATTTATGAGGCAGTTCTGCTCCCCCGGCCCTGGCATGTGGTCCCCAACTTGAAGGCATCTACACAGCATTTGCCTGAGGAGCATGGAGACTCCCAGGCCCGACTCCGAACACTCTGACTCTGCAGGTTGGGGTGGGAGGATGCTTGACGGTCTGCATTTTAAGGGTACTCTGAGGGATCGCATGTTGAAACCTTTTGTTGACGGTGAGTCTGAATCTGACATCCTGATTAAGGATCACCGTCACTAAGGCAAGCAGGTGACATTGTCAGCAAATTTAAGTGGCACTGCCTTGACGCAGCTCATTCCAGGAGGGCTGGGGCTGGGTTTGGGTGTAGATAGACTGTCCGAGGCCACACCTGCTTCCCACGTGGAACTTGGGCTAACACCACAGCAGGTTCTCCTGCCTGACGGGAGCCCTCCTCACCCCGCCTCCCACTGCTAACAGGAGATGCAGGGAGGGGAGCTGAAGTCAGCAGGGGCTTGGGTGGTGGAAACCCACAGACAGTGGGTCCTCGAGGTCTCCTGTCACATCCCATCACGTCCCCAAGGTTAAGAAACACCTTGTCGAGCCTGCGTGGCTCTGGGCATGGCTGAGTCTCTTATCTTTGTCTTGTGGAGACTCAGGTGGGCAGTTCTGAGGACCAGCCTGGGTCTCTATCCTCTCATCCCAAGAATGCAAAAACTCCTCTCTTCTTTCCTTTTTTGGCTTTTAAAGGAAACAATATGTTTGCTAGAAAAACCACAAAAAAAAAAAAAAAAAAAAAAGATTATATACAAAATGGTTATCTGAATGTGGACTGCACTGCCCGAAAGCGACCTAGCTCCTGGGGCTCTATTTGCGCTTCCTCAGTATCAGGTACATGAGGCCACTGGTGAAGGTGCAGGCGAAGGCCACCCAGGCCAGGATGAAGGCATAGCCGTAGGTGCCCTCCGAGGTCAGCGCGTACAAGTCCGCGTTGTCGCGGTGCAGGTCTTCGCGCCGGTCTGTATAAATGGAAGCTGCAATCATGACGCACAGACCTGTCGGGAGGAAAGCCAGGCTGTGAGACGTGAGGGACCACCACCCACGGCGTGCCCCAGGCCCGGAGGGGTATACGGCCAGAGCCAAAGACACGCTTCAGCTTTTATGGGTAGGAGCTGTCTACTTCAGTCTGCTGGAAAAATGACAACTGCTATTCCGTGGTAGAACGGTGCGGCTACCGTGGCCCTAGTCTGCATCTCGTTCTTGCTCCTGAACCCAGTTTTACCGGGCAGGCAAGTACCCAGCCCAGAGGGGTCTGCACTTAGGAAGGTCCCAGACAGATTCTGTGGACTTGAGGTTCTCGAGACTGAGTGACCTTCCAGGGTGGTTCGCACTTGAATTCTCGGCTGGCAGGGGTGCCTGGCTGTTCTGCTGAAGTGCCCTGACGGGATGCGGCGTGTGACCGCACAGGACACTGTGCCGACCAGTTTCCTGAGATGTGGGACTTAAATCAGAGACAGTCCCAGGCAAAGCAGGGCAAGTGTCAGCCCAGTGTGCAGGCAGGCGATCGGCTTCAGAGTGTGGCGTCTTCATCTGTGTCAGCCTTGCTAAAATTCGTAAATGAAGCGCTAAGACACCTGCTTTCTCGGGCCCCGAACCTAAGTGGGCACTTCTCACACCAACTAGCCTACGACGTGTTGATGGCTTCCCACCAGCCTAGGACAAAGACCCCAAATCCTTCCCATGGCCCCCAAGAGCCTGTGGGCTTTCACCCTGCCTGCTCTTCTGGCCTGTCTCCCACTGTACCCCCATCTCCACACGCCACCCCACGGGGTGGCTCGATCCTTCTCATCACAGCACTTCAGTCATGCTGTTCCCCCACCTGGCACACTGTTCCCTCTCCTCTGTCCCAAGACAGCACACAGTAGACAGCAGCTCCTACTTGCCCGAGACCAACCCCGGCCTTCACTTCCTGTCTCTGAGATACCGCTCCAGTCTCCTAATTAAACCCAAACTCCTGTATAGAAAGTGCCCACAGTAGTCTGGCTCGGGAATCACATCTCCTTCCGGGGTGCTCGGCGCCTCCCTCCTCCCGGCGAGCTGGGGGCAAACACGCCTTGTGGAGGCCATGGCTCTACTCACAAGACATGAGCTGGATGATGGACGTTAACACGAATCTCTCTCCCTGCTTGAGCCGGAAGAGCTGCAGCACGAAGATCAGGAAGGAGATGCAGCAGAGGATGGTGGACAGGATCATGGTGGCCTGCACCGCCTGCAGCGTGGAGTAACCTGTGGGTGGAGGGTGAGTGCGCAGGACTGACCACCCCGCCACGGCCAGCGGGAATCGGGGTGCACTGACTGAGGCAGCTCCGGGGCAGACGAGCAGGGCTTCAGGCTGTCATCTACAGTCTGACACAGGGCGGCCATGGAAGCTCCAACTCCCTCCCTCGAGACCCCACTTGTGCGCCTGACCTCAACGTCTTTTTCTGCAAAACAGAGAAAGGAGTTCCTGCTCTGCGTTCCTCCTGGTCCCGGCCACGGCTCCTGGACGCTTGGCTCGTGCACAGGGGATTTTGAAATGTACAGATCCCAGGTTTCGAGTGGTAGATTCAGATTCAGAAAGTCAGGAAGGAGCCTTGGTGGGTGGGGTCTGCCTTTAGAAAGGTCCCCAAAAGATTCTCAGGGACCAGGCTCCCAGGACTCGGCAACTTCCTCAAAGTTCCACGGACTCCGTGGCACCCCATAGTGTAAGAGGTGACCTTATGATCACTACTGAGGATAAGAAGGGGGATCCCCATCTTTTAAAATCGGCCTAAATGGACATTGGGGTGTGAAGTTTTGGGGCACAGCGTAAGAAAGTCTCCGTGGAAAAAGGAGAAGGTCGTGGGTGGATGGCGCGGCGTGGAGCAGGGGCACGGCTGGAGTCACCAGGATGCTAGTAGCTCCCCCTCATCGGGTGGGGGGTGAACTTATCTATATAGGGGTCAAGGAGTGCTGGCAGCAAGTTCCCAAGTCGCACAGGAAACCTAAGAACAAATCATCCTTTTTGCTTCACATTCCACAATTTTGCCTGACACTGACAGGAGGGCGCCTGATTCTTAAGTACTTAACGAGGTGTTTAGAGCAGCAAACCGAACTCCTTCTGGCTCCACATTAGGGTCATTTACTGTCATCTAGCTAGCGTCATCGAGACCCTCATGGTTCCTTAAGGTGAATGGACTTCAGCCATTTGCTCCAAGTCCAAGAATAGGCGGGACAAACTGCCTTGGCAGAAGGCAGAGTGTTGCACTTGGGGCGTAGGGCGGTGGGAAGTGAGTGGAAAGGGACCTGCGGGAACGTTCCAGGCTGTTGAGAATGGTCCCTGTCTTGTCTTGGATGGCGTTACATGACTGCATAAACAGTCGTCATTGAACTGAGCTCTTAAGAAGTGCATTTCCTTGTTTGTAAATTATAACTCACTTATTAAAAACAAAAAACCCCACCAGGCTACCTTGAAATCAAATAAAAGAATGGCAAGTATTGAGACCAAGCATCAGGGGCTTGTAAGGCCATGGAGGGGATCCCAGTGGGGGCCGAGGGTATGGCTCTGGCTCAGAGCAGGACTTTCCAAATTTGCTCGTTAGAAATGCAGATTCCTGGGCCCTTCCTCTGGGACTCACTTATTAAAAACAAAAAACCCCACCAGGCTACCTTGAAATCAAATAAAAGAATGGCAAGTATTGAGACCAAGCATCAGGGGCTTGTAAGGCCATGGAGGGGATCCCAGTGGGGGCCGAGGGTATGGCTCTGGCTCAGAGCAGGACTTTCCAAATTTGCTCGTTAGAAATGCAGATTCCTGGGCCCTTCCTCTGGGGGAATCTACCACCATTGTCCTGTGGCGGGCACCAGGAGTCTGTGTTTGGAGCAAGTGTCTCAGGTGACTCTCATGATGGTGCAAACATGGAGGACATGGAAAGGGGGCAGATCTTTATGATAGGGTTTCTCGAAGTTGGATGGTGCAGAAGATGTCACAGGTGGCCCATGAGATTAGAGTAGGTGGAGCCCAATCAGGGCCTCAAGTATTAATAACTCCTTCAAAGGAGGTCTGCCAGGCTGTTGCTTAAATTCCTCTAAGGGGGCCAGCAGGTGGCGTGGTGGCTAAAGCTTTGGATCCCACACGGCTGACTGTGCAGTTTGAGTCCTGGACCCCGTGGCTTGAAAAACACACCAAGCATGTGTGCGTGTGTGCCCAAAATCCAGAGAGGAGAATAGAGGAGAAGGGACTGTGGTAAAACCATCCCCCTGGGGGGTTATTTCTCACTTTCCCTCTCTCTCTGTTTCTGGGAAACACATGCGGCCCATAGCAAAAAACTAAAAATCTAAAATAATTCCTGTCAGGATTTCTAGGAGGAGCTCTCCGCTTGGAGCTTTAGCAGTTTTATAACACCTGCTCTTACTAGGGTATTGGGGGTTTGACTGTTTTGTTACAGAAAAGAACCAAAGGTAGGCGTAGAGCCTTCAGGAGGTAGGTGTGTCCAGTGAGACCGACACCATTTGATTTTCAATGTAGTATGTGTTCAAAAGTGGCCCTTCTTTAATGGCAAGCAATACCAATTTGTCATTTAAAGAGGGGATTTAAAGTTCCTTTAGAATACACTGTGATGAGGAAACAGTGAGCGGCTTCGAAGTGAGTCGGCAAGTCTCAGCGAGGGGCCAGCTGGTAAATATTTTAGGCTTTGTGGACTGGACGGTCTCCTGTCACATATTTTTCTTTTCATTTTGTTTTGGTTTGGGAGTTTTGTATTTTTTAAACAGCTCTTTTAAAATGTAAAAACTGTTTTTAACTCAAGGGCCACAACAAAAACAGGCTTTGGGCTGAATTTAGACGTAGATCACCGATCCGCTTTAAAGAAAAACAGCAAGTAAATAATGCCACATGGAAGACGTGGTACACGACGTGGCCTCGGAGCACAGCAGGCTCATGTGGCCGACCCCACATGTGGCACAGCTGGGCTAGCAGAGCCTGGGAAAGAAGAGCTGCTGCAGGGCTGAGGGTCGGCGGGACAAACAGGCCCGAGGCAGGAGGCAGCTCCGACGGCGTGTGGTTGGGAGAGCAGGCTGCGGAACTGGTCACAGCTAGACTGGAAGCCTGGCTCCGCTGTGCTCTCCCAGCTGTGTGGCCCATAACCTAACTGCTCTGTGCCTCAGTTTCTCCATTTTACAGTGAAGCCAATGGTCCCAGCCCGACAGGGCTTTGAGATCACAGATGGAAAGGACTTGGCCTTCAGTAAATGGGCATTCGCCTTCTTTCACTAGGAGCGCTGAAGCGTTAATGACTGCAAGGGGAAACTTAGGGACCCAGTGAGTAGGGTCTTTTGCTCCCCAAATAGGGTGGTCAGATTTGGCAAACCAACTAAACCAAATATAAAGAGAGAATACCCAGTGGAATCTGAATATCAGATAAACAATGAATGCTTTTCGGGTAAGTATAGCCCATGTAATTTGGGATATACTCTAGAAATCCCTCATGTTTATCTGAAATAATCAGATTTACCTGGGCATCTGGGATCTCGTCAGGCAACTGAGACTCCCAAGTGCCTCTTCTACCAGCTCTATCTAAATAGAACCATCCCCTTCACAGTGCAAGAGAATGGTTAGCATGTTGTGTTTTTAAGTGGCATTTTCTGTTTTTCAGTCCTTTCATGTATTTTAGCTCATCTGAAGAGCAGACATGGCAGGTGAGTCGTTACCACCTCCATCCCTCAGCTGAAGAGATTGAGATGCCCAGCACAAAAGTGACCTGCCTGAGCAAGGTCGCATAGCTTGCAAAGGAACACAAGCCAACTCGCAGCCTCCACTGCGGCAGGGTGCTGAGATGGGGGACACAACTGGAGAGTAATTTGAAGTCCTTGAGCCCACATAGAGGTGAGGCGTGGATTAAAGAGGCAGGGAGAGAAAGTTCTAGATGAGAGCTGAGGCTGTGGAAAGAGGGAGGAAGAAAATTCTGCTTCACCGATACACAGACGAGCAGGGGTGAAGCCCGGTTTAGCTGGAGGCAACCCCCACAGCCCTCTGCCTGCGGCTCATGCCCGTCCTGCTCCAGGCCACGTTGAGCCAACCTGGCCAGACCCGCAGGTACTGTGAGTGGAAGAGAGGGAGCTCTGGCCAGGAACGCCACATCCCACTCAGGACTCCACCTCTTGGTCACTTCATTCATTTGCACTCACCTTGAAAGGTGTCATTGATTTCTGTACAATTTGTGCTGTTAAAACACACTCTCCAGACATCTGCAAAGAAGTCTTCTCCTACCCACCAGGCCTATAACACAAAAGGACATCAGAGAGAAAAGCTGGTCATTCCCGGTGCAAACACACTCACCTAGCTAGGTGTGAGGCACAGTGGTAAATACCAGGCCCCAGAGCTTCTACACTGCAGGGCATGAGTGAATCCCCTGGTAATCTGATTCAGAAGCCCGAAGTGGGGCCTGGGATTCTGCATTCCTTTCTTCTTTTGTTTAAAGTTTCTTTCTTTCTTTCTCTCTTCTATTCCATGAGCAAGAGAAGCAGAGAGACAGCCACCCCCAACAGGGTCTTCATGACAGTCCACTTTTCACTTCCGTCAGGCCTGCATCAAGGGCATGTGCATGCACCCAGCCCACTCAGGGATGTCTCCAGATGCAAACCTGGAACTCACCAATGTAAGTCAGACTCATGGACCGCTGCCTTACCACCGTGCCACTGCCTGGCCCGGGATGTAGCACTTCTACTCAGGCTACTGGTCTGCTGAAGGACAGGATGGCCCAGAGGGAGTCCCTCCAGAACCACAGGAGCCACGTGAGAGGGGGCTTAGTGATGCATGAAATCTCATGGGAAAGCCTGGGGTGGGTGGAGGGTGCAGACTCAATTCTCCTTCCAGTCCGGTGCATTCGTTTCCCCTGTGCTCTGTTGCTTCTCCACCCAGACAGCCTCCTTCTGCATCCCACCCACCCAAAGACCAGAGCCCCCTATCTGCCCAGTCGACAAACATTCACTGTGCATCCACCAGGTGGAATGCACCATCTGCACCGTCTCAGTAAGTGCCTGATGCCATCAACACTCCAGGGGCCTGAGAGGTTCGCTGGCTAATGGTTTTCCTGCCCTATTGTCTGTCTCTTTCACTCAGTCTGGGATCTTTTCAGGATCTCCAAGGACTAGATGCAAGAAATAGAAAAAGGAGATTCTAAAACAACATTTAATACCATTTATTTCTCAGTTTGTGGGCCTTTTGGATGGTAAGGTCCAAATACCTGACACATGTCAATGAGATCCCATTCCTGGCTGCTCATGACAGCTCAGCAGAAACCTACAGAGCTCGGAGCCCAGACAGTGGCACAATGATACAATGTGACACTGCAAGGCTGACCCAGATGGGAGGGTTCCAGGTTCATGTCTGTCTATGACCTAGGGCTGACTGAGGCTGAGGGTGGATTATGGCTTCAAGACCTTGTGGAGAGTGCTTTCTCTCTTTCTTTCTCTCTCTCTCTCTCTCTCTCATGGAATGAATGAATGAATAAACAAACGAATAGCTGAACCTCCAAAACACAGACCTGATGACTGAATTCAACTCCACTGACAAGATCTGGGGTCAGGAGCTTCTGGTATGATTCAAATCGCGGCGTGGCTACTTACTGCAGTGTAAACTTTGCCAAGTGCTTTAACTGCCCCAAGCTTAGTTCCTTCACCTGTAAACCCATGCAAGGAAAGTACCGACTTCTCGGAGCCGGGATGAGGATCACGTGAGAGAATGTGCCTAAAAGGGGCTATGACGGGCCTGCTCACAGCTTCGCTCTCTGACAGGCGTCGTTATCATCTATACTATTGATATAATGATTAATCAGCAAGAGTCCTACATGTAGGTGGCCACCCATGTGGTGCACTTTCTGGCTTTCTGAACAACGTCTCTGCCCCTTTTACTATCTCTGTGGTCTGAAATGATCAGGACTGAAGTCAGGCCTTGGGGTCAGAGTGTGGGCCCCAGAGCGCCTCTGTGAAAAGCTTCATTTCCTGCCTAGAGGGATATAAATCTATGCCAAGAGGTTATTTATCAAATGCGTCCCTGCCACATGGTCTCAAGCTGGACACTGAAGAGCTTGCTTTTTATGGGGTACATGTAGAGTCTGGAAGTTCTAAGCGTGAGCTCTGCTGGGAAGGGCATGGTCAGATAAGCTAGCAACAGGGGACCCTGGGTAGTAAGGAAATGTTGTGGGCAGGGGATAAAGGTCACCTGGCATGGTCACCTGGGGAATCTAGGGCAGTGGCCTTTCACCTAGGCTGATTTTGTTCCCCAGGTGACATCTGGCCATGTCTGAAGACATTCTGATTGTCGCAGCTGAGGGTGGAGCACTGCTGGCATCTTGTGGGTAGAGACTAGGGAAGCTGTCTAGGTTCTCCAGTACTGAGGACAGGCTGACCCGGAGGAAGACTGAACTCATTCCATGTCCTCACGGGGCTTCCTAGAGCCAGGCATTGGCCTAGGCTCTGGAGGAATTAGGGAGGAGAGAGCAAAGGTGTCTGCCCCCCAGGACCTGCCACCCAAACCTGAACATGGGATGTCCCAGAATTCCCACACTTAGGCTGAGGCTCAGGAGGTGGGCTTGCCTTGGCAGGGAGGACATCCCCAAACCGTGATGGTCCTGACCAAGTTCTTAGTCCTGTTTCTCTGGGCTCAGGGTTCCAGATGGGGACCTGAGATGGCTGGTGGGGAAGGGACTCACATTGTCGATGGTGGAGATGAACAGCAATGCCGCGGAGGTGATGTGGAAGATGATGATAAATGCAAGCAGCACCAGCATTTTCACAGGGCGGGGTGGGCCGAGGTGTCACGTTTAAAGCCCAGACAGGGATTTGCTAAAGAAGGTGGGAGAGAAATTCAAATCTATCAATGACAAAGCAGAGTTAAAATTAAAAGTAGCAAAGTAAATATAGATAATGTTTTTAAAAGCATTCAAAAAGAATAATTTTAATATCAAAGGATTAAAAGTCACACTTGGGAATATTGAAGTCTTTGAACATATTTATAAATATGACCATCTTCCTGGTCAATAAACTCAAAATCTTGGGGCCAGCAGGTGGCACAGTGGTTAAGGCACTGGACTCCCAGGTGGCTGACTGTGGTTCGAGTCCTTGACCCAGCAGCTTGAAACTCATGCGGGGCATGTGTGTGTGGATGCATGCCCAAAATCTCAAGAGGAGAATGGAGACTGGAGGAGAAGGGATCGTGGCATGGTCATCACCCCAGGAAGGTGATTTCTCACTTTCTGTCTCTCTGTCTCTCCAGTGAGTACATGTGCCCTATAGCAAAAATCTCTCAAAAAAACCCTCAAATGTCAAATGGGTCACATTACACAATATGGGTGGAATGGTGCAGAGTTCATGTAGGTTCCTGCCCCCAAATCAATCAATCAATCACTTTAACTGAATCATGAGGAAACAGCAACTGTTCTTCTTTCATTATAATAATGCTTAATATTTATTGTAATTTATTATTTACACATAATCATTACACATCTTTGTAGGGTACATTAAGGTCTTTAAAAGCATGTACACAGTATATAATAAACAAATTGAGGATATAAACATATTCATCAACATTTAATGTTATTATTTACTTATTGATTTATTTGGAGAGGTTTTTGCTACAGGACACGTGCGCTTGCCAGAAAGACTGAGAGAGACAGAGAGACAGAAAGCGAGAAATCACCCCCTGGGGGGATGGTCACACCACTATCCCTTCTCCTCCATACTCCTCTCGGGATTTTGGGCACACATGCACTGTGTCCGGCGTGAGTTTAAGCCACCCGGTTTGGGACTCGAACCACGCAGTTGACTACATGGGAATCCAGCAACAGCCATTACGCCAATTGCTGGCCCCGATTTAATGTTATATTATGTTGTGAACATTCAAAACACATTCCACTGGTTATTCTGAAAGTACGTACTAATTATCTATGGCATTCTTTATTGTGAAATACAGTTCTTTTTTTTTTTTTTTTGGAGAGGTTTTTGCTATAGGGCGCGTGCGCTCGCCAGACAGACAGAGACATAGAGACAGAAAGCGAGAAATCACCCCCCAGGGGGGATGGTCACGCCGCAATCCCTTCTCCTCCATTCTCCTCTCGGGATCTTGGGCACGCACGCACACGCGCCCGGCGTGAGATTTAAGCCACCAGGTCCGAGACGCGAACCGCGGTCGACTACGTGGGAGTCCAGCGACATAGCCATTACGCTAACTGCTGGTTCCCATGAAATACAGTTCTTAAAAACCCCAAATCAGACTAAAAATCAGACAACAAAACCCCTCGTAAATGAATGAAGATGGATATATTTAAAACAAAGATAATCTCTTTTTTTATTTTAAAACAAAGATAATCTTAACATAGTAAATAAAAGAAAAAATTTGATTTTCATGTAGAGGACTATGGGAGATAAGAGTTTATATTCTGAAAAGAATTGTTTTACGCGTGGTGGTTAAGGCACTGGACACTCCCACAGTTCTAGTCCCAGACCTGGAGGCTTGCTTTCTCACTTTCCTCTCTCTTTCTCTGTGTGTCTCTCTCTGGTCAAATTAAAATAAATAAATGAATAAATAAAATTAAAAAATAATTATTAAAAAAAGAATTGTGGTTTTATTGGTCCATTTAGAGATAGGTAAAATTGAATATAGCAATGGCTCATTAGGAAGAGATAGAAAACTTTTACTCACTCGCTGTGAATTCTTGTAAGACCACAATAGTGTACTGTGCGTAAAGAAATAAGTCCTCAAAAAAAAACAAAAAAAAGAAAACAAAATTGGAAAGAGATATTTAAAAGTGAAGACATGGTAAAGTCAGTGTTTGGTGATTTATAGGCTTTACAAAGTTCTTGATTTAGCCTTCTTTAAATTTATTCCAAAGAAAAGATTCAGCTACTTGTAACATTTGGGGCTTTTTCTCTGTGATCTAGCTTTATACAATGAATGATGGTTATAATAAATATATACGTTGAAACCTGTGGAGACAACTGTCTATCAAATAATTGATGAATTTGTACTTAAACCTGCTTGTGTGTAAAATAATCGAGTCTGCATTTTTAGCCTTTTAGTTGGGAGATTTAATCCTGGCGTTAAATGCTGTTAATGATATGCGTGGACTTAGCCTTCCTTTCTAGTTGTTTTGTGTTCTCTTACTTCTATTTACTTCCCTTTAGTTTTCCTGGTATAGTAGTCCTTTACATATTTCCTGAAGAGCTGGCTTACTTCTGGCAAATTCTTTCAGCATTTGTTTATCTAGAAATGATTTTATTTCTCCTCATTTGAAAGATAATCTTGTTGGTTATAATACTCTTGGCAGAAACCCATTTGAAAGATAATCTTGCTGGTTATAATACTCTTGGCAGAAATTGTTTTCTTTCAACATTTTAAATATGTCTTCTGATTCTTCCCTTGTCTGCATGGTTTCAGTTGAGAGGTCTGATATTAGTCTAATGGGGTAAACTTTGTAAGTACTTGGCATTTCTCTCTTGTCATTTTTAGAATATTGTCTTGTTCTCTGATTTTTAACAAAACGGCTATGATATGTCTTAGAGAGGATCTCCTTATATCTATTGGGTGTCCTTTGTATTTCCTGGATTTGGATATCTGCATGCCTCTCTAAATTTGGAAAGTTATCATAAAAGAGATTTTCTATGTCATTGCCTGTCTCTTCACCTTCTGGGATACCTATTAAGTGGCATTTTGGCTGTTTATGGTGTCTAGGATTTCCCGTATATTGACCTGATTTTTAATGCTTATTCATCTACTCATTTCAGTTGTTTGGACTAAATCAGAGATTTTGTCTTCAAGGTCAGAGATTCTTTCTTCAGTATGGCTTAATCTGCTATTGATAATTTCAAGAGAAGTTTCAATTCTCTACATCATATTCTTTATTTTCAGAAGTTCTGTTTCATTCTTTCTGAGTGTGTCTTTCTTTTTATAGAGTTTCTCCCTCAAATCATAGAAGGATTTTTTTTTTCATCTCCTGGAATTGGTTGGTTGTTTTCTCGTGTATCTCACTGAGGATTTTTGTTTGTTTTTTGTTTTTGTTTTTTTACAATGAATATTCTGAATTCCTTTTCTGACATTTCTGTGATCATTTGTGTTTCATCTATTATTGGTGAGGAGTTATTATGTTCACTGTGTGTAGGGGGAGATATTTCCTGTTTTTCTCCTATTTTGGGGGGCTCTACTTCAGTTTTTAGTCATCAGATGATATACTCACTTCTTCCTATTTCTATTGAGTATGTTTCTATAGCTGTGCACTCATGCCCTTTCCTATGGTGTCAGTTAGCTCCATGCCTGTTTCCTTCCTCTATGGGAGGAGGGAGTGTAGAATCTATAGTAAGAGTGTGGGGTTCAGGTTTCTGGAGTTCCTCTCCTTTTACTGCTAGGGATTGTAGGGAGAGATTTCCTCTAGTCTCCTATCTTCAGGTGTTGATTCCTGTATACCCAAACATTTTTGCTCCCAACGTGGCTAGACATTGATTTGGATAGGCAGTGTGTAAGGTAGTAGACCACTTCTCATGATGTGCTTGCATGCCCCACAGGCTGGAGCATCCCCTCCTTCTGCACAGCAAGCTGGGCAGGGGTCCCTGGTGAGCTCAAGCCAAGTGGCATGGCCCTCCCTGTTGCTCCTTCTATCTCGTCTAGCTCTCTCATTCCAATATTTGATGATTAGATATAATTACTAATATTTGAAGAAAATAAAATTTTTAGTTTCACTTTTAAATAATTATTTACTTAACCACCATGTCACCTGCCAGCCCATTTTACATTTTAAAATACAATCTAGGGTCTAGCAGGTGACATCGTGGTTGAGACACTGGATTCTCTCACAGTTCACCATAGTTCAAGTCCTGGACCCAGCAGCAGTAAAATCACATCAGGCATGCCCATAATCACGTGTGTGCATGCCCATAATCCAGAGAAAAGAATGGAGGAAAAGCGATTGCAGCATGGCCATCTCCCCTGCAGGGGGTGATTTCTCACTTTCCTTCTCCCTTTCTCTTTTGACAAGCACATGTGCCCTATGGCAATAAGCCTTAAAAAAACAAACAAACAAAAAAAAAACTAAATATGATCTTACTTTCACTATGATGAGACTTTTAGCCTCAATTTGATTTGATTTAAATGTTTAGTTTGTTTCTTGCATGAGTGAGCAAGACAGAGTGGTGGCACTCCCAATAGGGTTTCGATGCTATGGTCCATCCTGGATCATATGCACATGTAGCTCTAGTTTTAAATGGATTAACACATACATGTTTTTTCCTGAACCACTAGAGAGTAAGTTGCCTAAATCATAATTATTTTTGTTTTTAATTGCCAAAGGGCACATATACTTGCCAGCAAGAATAAGGCTGGGGTGGGAGAAGTCACCTCCCAGTAGAGCGTGGTCATGCCAAATCCCTTCTCCTCCATTTCTCCATCCTGTCAGGGTTTGGGACATGCATACACATGTACCTGGCATGTTTTTCAAGCTACTGGGCTGAGACCTGAACCGCACAGTCAGCCATATGGGATCTGGTTCCCTAAACCATTAGTCTATAGCGCTAGTGCTAAACCACAATTCTTTATGTCTAAAAACCTCAGAGTGTGTTTGTAAAAAACAAGGACAATTTCTTATATTACTACAGTATGATGGTCAGGAGAGATTTCACAATATAATCCTGTATCTCAACTACAGTGCCTATTTAATTTCTCCCGTTAGCTCACTAATGTTTGACATAATTCTCTTTCTTCCTGGTCCAGGATCCAACCACAACTGCATGCTGTGGTTGTGTCTCTTTGGTTTCCTTTAGCCTGAAATGGTTCCTCAGACTGTCTTTGCTTTTCATGGTATTAATATTTAAGAGTAAAAATTAACAATGAGCACAAGTGCCCTATGGCAAAAAAAAAAAATCTTAAAAATAAAAATAATATTTTATTCTACAAAATAGAATGTCACTCCAACTTGTGGTGGATGCTTCCTCATAATTCAATTTAGGTTATTGAGTGAGTGACTGGGG